AGCCCTGCATGAACCTGCAAGAGCAGGAGAACCCAAAGAAAACTAAAACCCAAGGCACRCAGGAGTCTGTGCAAGGGTTGAAGGGTGCAACAAGGCACCTGAGACACCTGGAGCTGAAGACCAGGAAGGGTGACGGCGATCTGAAGGGCACGCTCAAGTCCAGGTCCATCTGTAGCTGAAGAAGAACACATCTGAATGWATACCAAAAAGAAAAACCTCAGGGAGATCAAGTAAAAGGGATGGAATCAGAGCAGAAAACAAATTCRCAGAACTGGGGCCAAAAATGCAAATCTGAGTAAAATCTGAGTCACATTTCAAATGTAGGCTTTCCTTACGGGCAGCTCAGTAATTTGAGCAGGTGACCATTACAAGCTGCTTGTAACCCAAATAATTCATGTCTACTTCCAGTCATTATTGCTTTGGTGGTGCTTGTACCAACTGCATCTAACGCATTAACCCCTATGAATTCATGCTCAATATGCTCCTATGGGTCTAACACACAGCAGGACTGAAAATTAAATATACTTTTCCCTTTGGCTTCTGTTCTCTTCTTTTAAGCAAGACTGCTAGTGTCCACTCCTCCTCCCAAATACACATTTCACATTAAAAAACAGAACCAATGGATAACCAAGTAAATTCCCGTTTACATGGATAAGAATAACAACAGTTATTAAAAACAGCAACGTCAGTAATAATACATTAAAAATGGCTTCATTGCACTTAACAAAAATGACCAGTGATATTAATTTGGGAGAAAAYCCCAGAGATGGCTGTGCACATTTCCGGAGGACAAATGAAAATAATCAGAGCCCCTTGTTGACTACGTGGGGTGAAGAGCGGCAGAGTCAGCTAAAGGACCAGAAAACAGCAGCACACGTTTCAGTGCAGCTGGCCCTGAAGGAGGCACGAAACGTTCAGGACTCCACGCTCGGATCCCGACCCTCGCGTTTGTGGTGAATTATGGCAAGTGACTCCCTAAATCAGCCCCTTTGGAGAGCTGCCTGTCCGGGCCCCGGCGGGCCCGCGCAGGGCTGCGTATCCCGCTTTCTGCACCTGGCCGGGTGATTTAGCAGGGACTTGACAGGGTCGGGGAAGCTTTATTCTCTTTGTTCCATGGGTGTCTGCCASGGAGAGCCAAGCCTGGATTAGCCGAGTCTAAATCCCTGGGCAGTTCGCCAGCGCTAGGCTAGTTCTGAAGAGAACGGAGCTCCGAGATGATTTCAAGACCGGCTTTATCCACCCGCTCCCCTCCAACGCCCAAATCCACGGGCAGGGAGCATAATGGCTCACGTCAGGCCGGGAAGCTTTTCCCCGTAGGCAGCRGTCGCCAACCAGCCCCACGCGGCAGTTTTGTGAACTTTCCGCCTGCCTCGGACAATGTCGCTGCCTCCCTGGGCACTCTCCCTCGCCGGCGCCGTGGGCATCTGCCCACGGGACAAGGGGACACAGTRAAGGAAGGCGCAAGGACGGGCCCCACAGGGCGCCCGCTCGGCACCTGCGWTCCCTTTGTGGTGACGCCAACCGTTTTGTCACCGGGGCTGCTCCGAGGTTGCTGGTGCTTGCAGCGCTGCGAGAGGTGCCGAGGYGCCTGCAAAAACAGATCCCGTTTTCCAGCAGTTTTCACTGGTGGACAGGCGAGGAAACCCTCCACTAGCAACTCGTTAGGAGGAGTCTTYGGCAAGCGGATGCTTCTTCCTGATTCCAGGAGTTAGAGACTTTCTGCAGCTTGTGAAGGCTTCTCTGCACGCCAAATTGCTCAGTATTTTTAGGGGTATTTAGGAGTATTTAGGTGGTATTTTTAGTCTGGTTCCCACAGACACAAGGCTGAGACACTCGCATTGCATCTGTTTTGCTGCCCCTAATAACTTTCAAACCTGTCGGCTTAGTTCAACTAAACTTGACAGGAAGGTCAAGGCCAACAAAATAATTAAGTTCTTATATGTTTTGCCAAAATAGGCTTTGAGGGAGAAGAGAGAGGGGTCCTATTAGTGCCCCGGAGACACGTCCTCATGGTGGAAAGGCTGAGCACAAGCTCACAGCTCCTTAGGCACCAGGGGAGCAGCACTGGAGGCAACCTGCTAAATGCTGCAAGCGTTTGCAAACAGCASAAACACCCCAGCTGAAGTCTGCTCTTCTTAGGCATCAACATCAGTGTGCTGGCAAGGCACAAAAAAGCCAGAGCTCACTGAACTGCTTGTTGTTATTTACTATCTGAACTCAGAAGCTTTTTGTTCCTTCTCGGGACCTAACACTTCTTGGGACCCACTTAAATATCCCCAAACAGTGCAATCTTGTAGCAAGAGGCTTCACACTGCTCTTGTATCAGAAGTATTTCCTTGTTTTCTTTCTGACCTTGCTTCCTTTTCCGTATCCTTATCAGAGCTGCCACAGACTGCATGGCCCGAGATACAAGACCCTTCATAAGCTCATTTAAAAGAAAATTTTAGGTCCTATATGTGTTTTTGTCCAGAAATGCAGCCCTGTTTATGTTCAAGCGTGGTAGGTAACCTGTACTGGAATGAGAAATACTTCTAAGTGTCAGAGCCTGAAAACATGAGTGGCAGTGAGAACAGGGTAAGCCAATAGTTTGGAAACAGAAAAGGGAAACAGAAATGTGTGAATTCAAATGTCCTTGTCACCAAGAGGAAAGCAGCATTGCACACACAACTCACTCCAGCTTCCATTAAACCCAAGGAAAGCCTTCTTTCAACTTGCAAAGCCGATTTTCAACTTGCAAAGACTTACATTGGCCTGGGTGGACTCAGGGGCACCTACTGCTGAAGGCAACAGCACGATTCCCATGCAGAAATGGAGCTCACGGGGACATCTGCGCCGGAGCAGGCGCGAGCAGGAGCACTGTGCAGGACACAAGCGGGAATGGCATCAGACCCTTYATCTCTTTCTCCCCAGCCACCATCCCATCAGAAAAACAAGAACAACCCTCCTCTTCTCATCAGGGGATACCAAGATTAGCTCAAACCTGGTTTTACCTTTTCTCCTTTAAGCCTCCAGGAGAGAAAGAAAGAAATCTCCCCGTATTTTACATTTTTGCACTGCAAGAAGCAATTTGTTTCTTGCCCAAACTCAGCTCAGTGGGTGCGGGGGAGCCCAGAAACGTTTCCACCTTCCTCGGAACTGATGATAAATCAGCCCCGAGGTGCCTGCTASCAACAACAGCCGCCAACTTGCTGCACTAAAATGGCTATTTAATCTGCTGACTAATACATCACATTAYTTCTGCCTCAGCTAGTACTTGAGCATGGCGCTGGCCCATTACATTATCCCAAGCGAGGCTGCTTTAAAATACAAGGGGGAAAATGAGTGATGTCGGGACTTTTGTTCTTCTTTTGTCGGGGTCTGTGTCAGAGGGAAGCTAAAAACCAACATCCTATAGTTGTCAGCCAGGCAGCAGGCCCCGTGGGCTCCGCGCACGGAGCAGGCCTTGGCTTCAGCCCTGTTGCTTCAGCCCTGATCATCTCTGTTAGATGGTACCTGAGGTCTGCAAAGGCACCGAGCAAACGCTCGTCTCCCTGCGCTGCTGTCCTACCACGTGCTCGTGAGAGGAGAAATTTAAGGTACTTACTGTCCACAGGTGAAGTCTTTGGCCTGGCAGATGGATCCTCTTGATCTCTAGGCAAGCRGGCACGAAGCAGCAGGTTTGAGCGCTGGGGTGGCTTTGGCAATGGCCAGCAGGATCCAACCTGGAATCACAGAGCTCGGCACAACCTGTCACTAGGGCTTTGAAGGGGGAGGATTCTGGCGAGGGTGATTTTGGAGAACCTGTAGACAAACTAATACATCAAGGTTAATGCGAAATTATCTTTTGCAAAAGGTTTTTATGTCATATTGCTCTCAAAGAGCAATTTATGTCATATTGCTCTCAAAAGAACCGAGTTGTCCAAAAGAAAATGTTGAGGTGATCGTGGGAGGAAAGAGGTAGGAAGAGATGCATTCCCCAATCAACCCAATGCCTCTACAGATACATGGACATGTCTGCTTTTAGCATGAACTGAAATAAACATCTTTTTCCCTAGGGCCACCCCAGCTAATTGCATCCCATTTTCTCATTTCTCTAGCAAGCAGGCAGGAGAAGCGTTGAGGATGCTTCTCCAGTCCTGCATTGCAAATAAGGCATCCAAACAGTGCATGGTGAGCTCATACCTACGTGTGTATGAGGRAAAAAAAAAAGAAAAACAAAGCCAACAACTTTTCTGGGTGTATCAAATTTCTGGATTTTGGAAGGAACAAAAGACATTGCACTCTTGTCCTGAATTTTATTAGGAAATTAACAGGCTGACCGATAACCTGAAATTACATAGCAAAGCTCATTTTAAAAAAATGTTCAAAATCATCGCAGTCTTTATTTCTACAAAACATAATGCCCAGGTATAATCCCTGCTTATGTCTGCAAATTTCCACACCCTTAACCTTTATCTACTGTACAGTAGCAAGAYGGAATAATTTTAATATCATCTGTAACATTAAATACAGCGTAGMGTTCTCGGCAGTCCAAGTGGAAGAGGCGAAATGTTTAAAACAAAGCACTACTGGAGTATGTGCAGCATTATGAAAAGGTCTCCTGTCATCTCAGGTCGTTACGYGTCAGTATTTGAGACTATTCATATATATATATGTGTGTGTGTGTGTATATATATATATATGAATGAAAAATTGGTGACATGAACTGCTCTGCAAAATTATGAGGCTTTAGGGCATTGGTTTTTCCAACAGCTTTGCTTTGTTCTGTTCACATTCACTCTCCTTCAAACCTTGCATTTTTGTACACGCCACTAGAGAGTGGAAAGGTTGGAAAACTTAGGGAAACTTAGGGACTTGCCGGCGTCCCAGCTGGGGCTGCCTGCTCCTCAGGCCGCCAGTCCCCTCACTGTGCGGGACACGCGATGCTCGGAGCAAGAGCTGATGAAGCTGTCTTCAGCTCCCTCTTTTTTTGCCAGCAATGTGTGCTCTTGCAACCACACTGAGCTAACACTGAGCTAAACTGCTGCTCTGTAATCCTCAAGCTTCCTGATACTGCCAGCTGTAGGGATGTTCCTCCTTCAGGGCTTATACATAGGTGCTGACTTTTTGCATGGTCTGGACTTCAGCCTTGGTAATCAAAGCTCAAACCCTGCTCACTTTGTGCATGTGAGAAATCACACTAAGCCAAGCACTGCTGCTTTTAATGCAGCTGCAACTCTGGGGATTGTAGGTCCTCTAAATCAAGGCTGGTACTTTCATATCTCTAGTAACTCTTGTGAGGAGCTGAGCTTCTTGAGCTGTTATTCAGGAAACTACCCAACTCATCACATACGCTGTCTGGATGAGAGGGGCCTTCCTGAACTGGAGCCTCCGTTCCTGCAAGGATGAAGGATACGCAGCGTTAGGGGCCAGCTCAAGCACTTGACCGGCAGGTCCAGGCACTTCTGGCTTTTGCACGTGGGCTGCTGTCCTATTTTTGGAGAGGATAAGCTAAAAAAAAAAAGAAATAGAGTCAATAAGTAGTAAGCCTCCTTTTAAAAAGCTATTTCAGGACAAGCACATTCAGACCACTGTGTTTTTCTGTTTATACATAAATTCTTTGGCAGCAACTTTCGAGAGAGTAGAATCATTTTTTTTCTATGTAATACTTTATTGTCTCCCCATGAAAAAGTGGTATCTTAAAAAATCTATAGCGCTTTCCACTATAAATAGTACTGTTCCAGATTAAGGATTAGTTCCTCCCTGAAGAAAAACAGATTTGAAAAAATCTGGTCATTATCTGATAACTGTTTATGTAGCAACCTTAAAATAAAACAGAAAAAGTAAAATCATTCAGTATGTGGTTTGTCATTCTCTAGAATGTTAGTGGTATGTTTATACAATAAAACCAACATAAGTTATCCTATTTTGTTTTAAAAACCTTAGTAGTAGAAATATATTGCTATCTGCAGATTCATAAACAGAATGCACATTTTCCATCTACGTTCAAGTATTATTAGAATATTATTATTGCTATTATTATTATTAAAGGAGCTCTACATCCTTGAAATTTTGCCTGTCTTTACATTGTCTTGGTCTTTCTGAGAAATAAGGAGTTGTGATCATTTGTTCTTGAAYAAAATCAACATGAAACTTCAGTAAGTTTAGCCTGGCAGCAAACAGCTTGGCAATCCTTAGTCTATTAGGAGCGACTTTTAGAAGAAGGTATTTGAGAGCAGTAGTATAGATACAAGTCTTGTGTTTTCTTGGATGGCTGATGAACTCAATTCCTTCCAGATTCAGTCTCATTCACATGAGAAAGGTGGGAAGAACCCAGCCCAGATGGTGACCACATCAGGAGATGTCATCTTCGTTTCTTCTTGGCACTGTCAGCTGCTCGTAGGTCGGCAGGGTGTTATTAGGGAGGAAAAGATCCGAGTTAACGTTGTTGCCTCTCTGCGACGCTCTGATGGTGCCGTGACCGCCCTGCTGACTGGAAACCAGATGATGCAGCATATCCGTGATGAGGTTCAGCTTCTGGTCCATCTGGGTGATCTGCAAAGGGAGAGTTTGCTCAGCACCAGCACTGGAGAAAACAGCAGCAAAGCAGGGAATACCAGTGAGATGGGAAAGCGGCACCGCGACCACCTCTACAAAACCTCCACGCATTCACCGTCCATCAAACAGAGCACTGGAAAGTTACTGCAATAGATGGGATGCATGGGATGAGAAGAGGCCTCTTCATGCTCACCTATGTGCTTCGATGGCCACTTTGTACCTGGGTAAACGCAGGCCGAGGTGGGCGTTAGGGGGAAAGGCCCTCCTAGAAACCCTGTGCGTGGACAGAGAACTTAGTGCCAGACCTGAGTTTCTGTTATGTTGTGCTCACCTTTTTCAAACACCATCAACTTCTGTGACACACATACACCCTAATCCTGTCACTGTGCTAGGTGGGCTCCTTCCTGGACGGGTGGCAAGTGCCTCTGAACGTGGGCAAGGAAACCAGGTCTCATGGMCCCAACACCCTTCTGCCAGCATCAGGTCACCACGGCGGTCCCAGACCCAGGGCTCCACAGGGATCCCCAAACCCAAAGCAAAGAGACGCAATAGGTTTCACAAAGGGGAAAGGCAGCCAGCTAAAAAACTGTGATAGGAATAAATTGCYGCCTCAAATATCTGCTCCAAAGTAGTGAAAGGCACATAAAACTGCTAGAAAGAGCATGAGTGGGAGCAGTTTATATGCGCCTGGACAGCATCCAAGTATCACACAGGACAGTAAAAGACAGTAAGGCTGAGCAGAACGTCAACAAACCTGGAGGATTTCAGCAGAGACTCCAATGTTTTTCCACTGCAGAGAAAATGCAGGTTTTTTCAAACACTTTGTACAACTGGTAGGGAAGCAGATACAGTAATTTAAAAATATGAGGTGCCAGAGATTTATACTTTGCAGCTGGGTTTGAAAACATTAGGCAAAGCACCCTAGATGGTACATGAAACACTAGTAATTCTGGATGGAAATGGCTGTTGAAAGACGAGATTCGTAAAACGAGGAAGTTTGAGAACACATAAGTTCAAGATTTCTGGAAGGAAACACAGATGGAAAACGGAGCAGRGCAGCAGGTTTTGATTTCATCCCTATTTGTTCATTCCTTAAAAAAAAAAAGGCACACGCTTCTTACTAATGGTGCCCCTTGGAGAGGGCAAATGCATAATGCTCCAAGCACGACAGTACAAACGGCTGCAAAATTCCCTCCTTCCTCCATCCCCTGCTGCCCAGGCCTCGTGGAAGGCACCACACACACACGAGCACCCACTAATAGCTGCCTTTAGAGGACGAAGGACAACTTTTCCCTAAAAATAAAGGTTTTGTGTGCTAATTATTCTGAAGTAACCAGGGGATTTCTGTAATTTTTTTTTAATTAGTGATCCCAGACAGTGATCACCAGAGGAAGTGCCGAGTGCAGCTACACTTGGGAAACGTGCAAGTGACGGGCTATTGAACGTGACAGTCGCCTGGACCGAGACCTGGACAGTCCTTCAACAGCTGTGCATCCTGGTGAGCGAGGGAGAGGTGAATATTCCTGCTGGGAAATAAATTCCCTGGGATAATCGGCTGGTTCGCCTCTGGAGCCAGGTCGGGCTGCTGCAGCTGGGGAGGGCAGCAGGCCCACAGGAGCAGAGGCAGGAGCTAATTTCTGTTGAGCTGAGCCCTATGAGATAACAAGGAAGCCCTTCTTCCACGCTCCTGCTTATCCACGCCTGCCTCCACAGTGTTGGTACTGAGAGCTGGTGCTGTTTAAGAATGGTTATGGATGGGTTTTCCATAAAGAAGCCCCTTTTCCCAGGGAATTCTGTGCCTATTAAGGGCTTGCTCCAAGACACGCTGAAGTCAGTGGTAGCTTTTGGCAATCACAGACTCCCAGTGACTTCAGCGAGCTCTGGATCAGCCTCGGCCCGAGCTGACAAGCCCAAGTAGTAACACATTCTTCAGATATTACAAGGAAAGAGAAGTCTAAATTTCCGTACGCGGCTCCGCTCGTGCTTCTTAGGGCTGGATCAGCAAAGATGACATCTGCAAATGAGACAGCAGTGGGATGAGGAGGCCCAGGCTTGATCCTGCCAAAGGGGGGGTCTCCTATTAAAAGCACGAGACCAGTACGTTTTAAAGAGAGAAGGAAAAACCATCAGAAGGCAACTCCTACCATCATCACAGGTCTCTGAGGAACAAGAATAAGTGGCTTGCTGATGAACAGCCTTGCATGCAAGCAATCCCAATCCCCCTTTGGCCTCCTAATGCTACCACGCACCCTGCAAAATACCGTTCGCTTGTTTGCTGCAGAGATAATTGCATCCATGTCACAGTGTGCAATATCTTTTTTATTAAGCTGGATTCGTGCATTTTACATATTGCGTGTGGAAGGGTATCGTCTCCCCTGAATCATGCTTCCAAACACATTTACTTGATTAGAAATTAGCTATGATGCCAGAATGTAATAAAAGCAGAGCAAACGGGAAAAGTGCTGATGTTGCTACAATCTTCTTTGGACAACCCTGATCCCGGTTCTTAAAACAGCAAACAGTGTTAATTACGTATAAAAATAACTCAGACTGATTGTGTTTCTTTAAAGAGAAAACAAGCTCTTCGGAGGTGCTTTATGCTTCATTAGAAGTAGGATGCTTGATCAAATTTGTGATATGCAAATCACTGCACGTTTTGCAGTTGTTTGGCAAAGCAAGCACTGCTTGCAACTCTTTGCAGTAACCAGCGTCACTTCTGAAGCCCTACTCAAATGTTGCAGGCAAACAACGTTTTTACGTCCTTCAAAACAAGGGTCTTTTTACAGAATCCAAAAAGGCCATAGCCTGAGCCCAGACGGAGAGACGTGGATATCAGTAAGTTTTGAATCCAAAGCAAAATGATTTTGCACACAGACTGAAAGAGCAAGGCACAAATGTCACTAAGGAACTACAACTGTCAAACTGCAAAGGTTTGGGAAGAGCTTCTTGCTATCCCTACAGGAACGTATGATTTTTGTATTTTGCGATCCAATACAGCTCACTAGGGCAGGTCCTCTTATGGAGGACCATTTTTTTTCCAGGAAAAACAGTTCTCTGCAGCTAGATAAAAAATAACATGCCACTTTTATGAAGGTATCAAAAGCATTCCAGGAGGCGCTGGCGAATGAGACAGACACCGCTCTTGTGACAAGAAGGAAAAACAAAATAAAGAGGAATTTATCTATTAAAATTCCACAGATTTTTATGCTATAGAGATATTCAAGACAGCGGGGAAGCCCAGGGATAAAACTTGGTGATTGGAATAACTTAGGCCACAAAGACCACAGTCAACTACAAATCTCCAAGAACTTAATGCCAAGCGCTGCTCTATGATCTGGAGGGGTAAGGGTGATTAAAGCTGATTTCTCCACCCTTCCTTCTGCATTTCGACTTCCCCAACTCAGAGAGTTCAAATCAAAATGTAATCACTTTAAAAAATGGTTAAGTGCAAAAAGTATTGTCCTTTTGGACAGAATGGTGGTTGATAACTACCTATATTATTATAAGCACAGTTGACTGATAAAGCRAACAACTTGTGCTTACTCAAGGAATCTTGTAGCACCACCGTTTACACATAGTGCTCACTCGGTGGATTCAGGTGGACGGGTGTTTGATCCTAATACAGACAGAGGAGTGTAAAGCTGCTAAAAGACAAGAGGGATAAAAGAACACAAGCTACACTCGGCTGAAAGAAAATGCGATAAAAAAGGCATTTCAGAGAGCTCACAAAGATTAGACTCCCAATTCTGCAGCCCTGGCTAGCATTCATTCCGGACTGCAGCCTTTTAGTTTAAAGAAAACCATCTCTTTAGGGCACTTCTGAAGATAACTGAAGACATTTGGGGAGATCTTCATGTATTTTGTCATTGCTGACAATCTCTTACTACAGAAGGCCCTGCTGTGTGTTAGTGTGTCACAATTCTGCGAAAGAAAATCACTCTTTCTCACTCCTTGCATACTCTTTGGAGGTGCTAAAGAGAATCCTTTCCTGCTCCCTATTCACTATTATACTCTGAAATGAGAAAACCAAACGTAAAAGTCCTTTTGGCCAACAAAAACTCTCACAGAATCAACTGGGTCATCAACTCAAAGAAAAGATGCAAACCATATCATATCTGTTAAGAATGATCAGAAAGTCAGTGATAAGAAAAAAAGTATCCATATCAATCAGTATGTTAGAAAAAAATGCCTTTCTGCWCAGGTGCGTGATCTCCTCAAAATCCTGGGAAAAGTCTGTCTCCCATTTGTGCTACCCAAGAGCCCAGGTTCTTGAGCATCCTCTTATGAGAGCTCCTGGCTTCGCTGTGTCTGTGGTGGTGCCAGAGGTGCTTCTGGAAGCGCGTAGTCTGCATGGAGGAAGATCCGTGCTCGGGAGCGGCTCTGCTTTCTCTGGAGAGGTGTCCAAGGAAGGGAGTGTGAGGGCAGGATTGAGGAAGCGGAGCCAGCGGGAAAACGCTCGCTGTAACGTAACGTTACTTTTTGCTAGAAAACTAAAAGGCTGAGCTTTTGAGGAACAAATTAATGGGTTTTGTGGGTTGGATGCAACAAGGCTCTTTCCAGTCAATGAAAACGCTAAGAACCRCAGGAATAACTGGGAAATAAAACTGCTATCCTTGAAAGCAAAAGCACCTTTGGAAAGAGAGGCACAGCTAAGGTTAACCATTCTGCCAGTTCAATTACTTCCATGTGGATTTTTTKGGGGGGGATTTTGAGAACAGTGTAGATCATGCTTATTTTTCAGATTAGGAGTGTCCTTTGAATTCTATTCAAAAGTGACAATAATAGAAGACTTGCTCTGACAGGTCAAAAACTCAAAAAAGGGGCACAAAAAGCCATTTAAGTATTGTGCAACAGGTATATGTGTTTTGCACAAAATACGGATTATATATTACCTAGCGTAGAATATGGGCAGTATGTCTTTGTACCTGCCTCTTTTATGATGTTTTCCCAAGACAAAAGCCAAGATAGGGCTTTCAGGAACAGCAGTTATTGAAGAA